TCTGTGCTGTCGACACTTCCAGCATCACTCCCTCCTTTACTTGCACCTGGATGTTGGTGTTGTCCATGGCGCCATCATTTCCTATTTCCGAGCTGTGCCCTCTAAGCAGCCCTTTGCTGTATGCATATGTATTTATGTGCAATATATTCATATATTATATTTAATGTATTTATATATATTTAATATGTACAAATAATATACAATTTAATATAATACAAATACATATATTTAATAGATACAAATTATACTACATAAATATTTTTCTATATTCTGTTATTTATATTTTTTTAATTATTATGTATTTATGTATGTGTATAATACATATAGAAATATTTTATGTATCTGTGGGTGCGCAAGCAAAATGTCTGCGAGCAGCTGAGGCGCACGTAAAAAGCAGCGCGGGAGGTGTGAGGAGCCATAAGCCCCATGCCTCCCCCCGCCTTTCTCTGAGCCAGCTCTCTTAGACCTTAAGAAAATAAACCAGGCGGGTAGGATCGATGGGTTCGTGACCTGGGGGCATAACCACAGGGGAGAGACTGTCCTTGACCTTGTACGTGACTTATTTGAGGCATCAAGTGCAATGAACAGATCACGCACATCGCAACACTGGTTATGGTGTGTAACTGAAATGAGTGAAGTTTTTGGCTGAATGGGTTTAGCAAGGTAAAGCTGTGACTATAAAGACTTTTATCAATATGTAGAATATGCATTTTATGCAAAATACGCATTAAAAACGTACTCGAGTGTGCATCGTAGGCGAGAGGTGGGTTTTGAAATGCCTAGCTTGGCTTTGCCCCTTGCCTGGCCTCACTCGCTCCATCTCGGTGTTTGCTCCCTGTGTGCTGTCCTCCACCTGGGGACAGCCAGGAGGAGGGGGGATTTGGGGGCTGCGGTGGCAGTCCTGGACGGTAGAGCCTGTGAAACCGGAGGGGACAGAAAGCAAGAGGAGAATGCAGCTGTGCTCCCCTCCTCTGCTTGCTGTGGGCATCTTGTGTCAGAGCAGAGACCAAAATTTCTCGTGTAGGTCACACAAGACACCAGCTGCTCCAGTCCTGCTCGCTGCAGGCTTGGACACGGGGTCTGCAAATTGCATCTCCCCCCAGGGTCACAGTGTTTGCTGAGACAAAACCCTCCGGAGATGGCTTCAGCGTGGCCTGGCATCCTCAGGACTGGATGGCTCTGCTGTTTCAGGGTCTTTTAATTCCTCCAGCACAAGTGAGGTTTCAGATTTGGTTTTTTTAATTATTCTTTTTTTAATTATACTTCCTCCCCCCCTCCTAAATTGCAGGTGCTCTCTGCAAAAGAACAAAGCATCTGGTGCACCTTCTTCCCACCCTGGCCTAACTGGAGTTTATCCTAATGGGAAATTAATTGCAACCCTGGGGGCGAGGCTGCTCGCATCCTGGAGCGGTTGGAAAAGCACCCCGGTTCTTCTGGGAGGTTGTTCAGCTCTCTGGCTCCTTTTACGTCATCTAATTGCTGCTGAATTGCGACACAATCTCTGTGTAGGAGGAATCATCTGTGCAGCCTTTGTGTGAATGACCTGCAGGGAGATGGGTGGCGATGCCGCCCAAGGATGCCCCAGGGGCTCGGCGTGGGATGCAGGGGTTATTTTGGGGGGGCCCATGCCCATCCCCAGGGCTGCGGGGCCAGGCTGTGCAGCGCATGGGAAGGAGGCAGGTTGGCACAGAGATGGCTCACACCACAGTCCTCCTCTGGCATCGCTTGGCCCTGAGCTTTGAGTCAGGAAGGCTTTGCAGCTGGTTTTTCTTCTCTTGTACTTTGCTCCTGTGGGTACTGCCATGGGGAAGTTTCCAGGGCAACTGGTAGGAAATGAGAAGATGGAGGAGAAATAAGAGGAGCCATCATTTATGTATTCATCAAGTACAAACCTGGTGGTGGTACTCCCTGATGTGTTTATCAAACCAGCCTTTAGGACACAGCTGCTTCTTCATCGTGTGAGCATTTGAGGTTTACATTTTCCTTCATACTACTGTAATTTCATTTTCCCTTCCAACTTCTCTCCCTTTCTCAAGCATTTTCTTCACCAATATAATCCAGAAAAAGGGACAAAACCCCAAAATTAACCCAGCAGCATCTGAATAATGTTGGATCAGCTGTTGATGAAGATGCTGTCCAGCAGCTCAGGCAGGGACTTTGTGGGGTTTCCTAAACTTGCACCAACCTTTCTGTGGATTTACGTCCTGTTACAGCCGGGCAAGGTTCTCATCTCTGTTCCTTATGTGCCTAAAATGCTCTTGGAGTATGTGGCTCTGAAGTCACTTAAGTGATGTTAGAGATGTTCCTCTCGCTGCTTCTCAGATTTGCTTTAGCTGTGTGATTAACCCATAATAGTCACCTAATTCAAAATCAGAAACTAGTCTTTCCTCTGATATTTTTTGGGAGGAAAAACATTTATAAGTTTATAAAATGTTGAAACCCTGTGAGTTTTATTTTTTCTTTATAATATTAAAAAAAATCTCTTTAATTTTTATTTATTCCTTTTTTGTGGTTTTTCTTTTTTTTCTTCTTCTTCTTCTCCTGATGCTAAAGAAGGCAATCTCTTGCTTTTTAAAAATTTCTCTTTAATTTTTCTTTATTCCTTTTTTTGTGTGGTTTGGTTTTTTTTTTCTTCTTCTTTTCCTGATGCTAAAGAAGGCAATCTCTTGCTTAGGGCATGACCGAAACCTCACTAACCCCCATATCAACTCACAGTGGGTGATTTACAGACACAAATGCACAAATTACAGCACTTTCCTTTTGGGTTTTTCTTCCCCAGATGAGTGTGCATCCCTAACCTGGGAACCTCACCCTAGGAATGCTGGGAAAGTTGTGGCGGTGGAGAAGAGCCCTAGGATTGACCCTTTTTAGTCCTCACATTGGGAATAAGCTGCCCTGCCCAGGCAGGGGCTCCTTGGTCAGCGGCAGCAGGTCTTGGTATGGAGCTGAGCCAGGCAGGGCTCCTGCCCAGATTTTGGTATAAAAAGCGGGTGGTTAGACCACAGGGGAGGATGGGGGAGATGTACATTTAGGTTCTCCTTAGCCCAAGGGTTGTGACTCCATAACATCCAGGCCAGGCATCCCCTTGTTTTCCTCTGGCAATCTTCTACCTTTGCAGGTCCATGGATCCAGCTTCAGCGCCAGGAGGGGAAAATGCCCTTTTTATTCTTGGAAACATCATCTTTCCTCAGCTCGCCTCATCCCTAAACTCAAAATGCCTTATGTCCAAGATAAAAGACTTCTGTTTCACTGTAAAAATGAGGCCTGTTGTCTTGTTTTCTTCCTTTCCTCTTCAATAGCAGGTTTGGAGGGGGCTGAGGTTGTCCATCAGGAGTTTGGGGTCTTTAATAAACTGTGTGGAGGCCCTAAGTTGAAGCAAGAGAAGTCCCAGGCGGGTATAAGGAGAAACTTTTCCACCCTGAGGTCAGTGGAGCAGGTCAAATGGAGAAGTTATGACCAGATAAAGCCACAAGCAACCCGGTCTGACCCCAGAGCTGGCCCTGCTTGAGCAGGAGATTGGACTGG